GGACTGCCTCGGTAATGGTGGACCGGACTGCCTTGGTAGCGGTGGTCTGCCTCAAAGTGGCGGACTGCCTCAGTAGAGGTGGACCAGACTGCCTCAGTAGTGGTGGACTGCCTCAGTAGCAGTGAACTGCTTCAGTAATGGCAAACCGGACTGCCTCAGTAGCAGGAGACTGCCTCCATAGAGGTGGACAGGACTGCCTCAGTAGCAGTGAACTGCCTCGGTAGGGCGGACTGCCTCCGTAGTGGCAGACTGCCTCAATAGCGGTGAACTGCTTCAGTAATGGCGGACTGGACTGCCTCAGTAGCGGCGAATTGCCTCGGTAGCGGCGGGCTGCCTCAGGAGAGGTGGACCGGGCTGCCGCGGTAATGGCGGATGCCCTTGTCACAGAGCTTGACCATCCCGGTTCCAGCTGTGCTTGCTGTGGAACTCTCAAGTCAGCGTTTCAGATTGCCAGTCTTTGTAGGGGTGGGACCCTCCAAACCAGATCACCGGGCTCCCTGCTTTCGGCACCCTCTTTTTCAGTTGAATGGGTGGCTATGTCTCCCAGGCTTTCCAGGAGCCAGTTGAAACGGACGCCCAGATTTGTGTGAGTTTTTGTGCAGAAACCTGCAGCGCCGGCTGAAATAGCCAAGCTGGAAACTTCTGGCGCTTTTTGGCCGGGGAATCTCCTGGTCTGTGGGTGGTTAAAAACTGCGGGAGAGACGCAGTATCTGAAGCCGAGGGCTGGAGGGGATGGAAAGGCTCCAGACGGCCTCCATTGGGAAGGGAGGGGCATCCTCCGGGGATTGCACTTCCCAGGTAAGGCAGCGCCTCACCCTGCCTTCGCTCGCCCTTCCTGGGCTGCACACACTGTGCCACCAGTCCCACTGAGATGCACCTGGTACCTCGTTTGGAAATGCAGAGATAACTCACCCTCTGCACAGTTCTCACTGGGCACTGCGCTCCAGAGCTGTTCCTATTCAGCCATCTTGCTCCCCCTCCCCTCCCACCTCATTTTTAAATTTTTTGTAGAGACACAGTCTCATTATATTGCCCAGGCTGGTCTTGAACTTCTGGGCTCAAGCAATAATATTTTCTTCTTTCTTTTTCTTTCTTCCTCTTTCGTTTTTTTCTTTTTCTTTTCTTTCTCTCCTTCCCTCCCTCCTTCCCTTTTTTTCTTTCCTTCCTTCCTTCCTTCTCTCTCTCTTTTCTTTCTTTCTTCCTTTCCTTTCCTTTCCTTCCTTCCCTTCCTTCCCTTCCTTCCTCCCTCCCTCTCTCCCTCTCTCTCTCTTTCTTTCTTTCTTTCTTTTTCTTTCTTTCTTCTTTCTTTCTTTCAAGATAGGATTTCACCAAGATGCGTAGGCTGGTTTTGAACTCCTGACCTCAGGTGATCCATCCACCTTGGCCTCCCAAAGTGCTAAAATTACAGGCATGAGCCACCACGCCCGGCCTATTTTATTTTTTAACTGGATCTCACTGTTGCCCAGGCTGGAGTGCAGTGGTACAGTCTTGGCACACTACAACTTCTGCCTCCCAGGCTCAGGTGATCCTCCCACCTCAGCCTCTCAAGTAGCCAGCTGGGCTCACAGGATGGTGCCACCACACATGGCTAATTCTTTTGTGTTTTTGTAGAGAGAGGGTTTGGTTATGTTGCCCAGGCTGGTATCAAACTCCTGGGCTCACGATCTGCCCACCTTGGCCTCCCAAGGTGCCAGGATTATAGGTGTGAGCTACCGTGTCTGGATATCCTTTTACTTTCAACCTGCCTGTATTGTTAAAGTGAATTTTTAGCTGGGCACGGTGGCTCACAGTTGTAATCCCAGAGTTCAAGACCAGCCTGGCAACATGGTGAAACCCCATCTCTACTAAAAATACAAAAATTAGGTGGGCGTGGTGGTGCATGCCTATAATACCAGCTATTTGGGAGGCTGAGGCAGGAAAATCTCTTGAACCCCAGAGGCGAAGGTTGCAGTGAGCTGAGATTACACTACTGCACTCTAGCCTGGGGGACAGAGTGAGACTCTGTCTCCAAAAAAACAAAACAAATAATAAAGTGAATTTCTTACAGGTTAAAAAAGTAATAATAATAAGTAAAAGCATCCCAGGAGCTGTACTCTGACAGCTGTGCATGATGCAATCCATGAGGACTTGGTTTTCCCAAGCAAAATTGTGGGCAAGAGAATCCGTGAGAATCTGGATGGCAGCCAGCTCATAAAGGTTCATTTGGACAAAGTACAGCAGAACAATGTGGAACACAAGGTTGAAACTTTTTCTGGTGTGTATAAGAAGCTCATGGGCAAGTATGTTAATTTTGAATTCCCAGAGTTCCAATTATAAGCAAAATGACTAAATAAAATACATATTCACTGTAAAAAAAAAAAAGATATTTTAAAAATAATATTCTAGTTTGAGGAAGTTGATACTTAGAGTATTGTCTGTTCTCTTGACAAAATATCAAGAAATTGTGTGGATCAGCTTTTATCCAAGGGAGAATGGTTAATTTTCTGTCTCCTACATAAATTAGGAAAATGTGTGAGTCCTTCAGGTTAAGCCCCAAGTTTGAACATTCACGTGATCAAACTTGACTGTCTACCATCTCCAAGAGTCTTTGCATATAGATAACATGATTTCATCACATGGACAAAGCAACCATCCAATTTAGAAAGCAGAAGCGTAAAGGAATGAGATTGGAGGTGTGAAGGAGTTGAAACCAGAGATATTTGCACCAAAGTTGTCCATATTTATTAGGCCTTGGCCAACTCAGTGAAACGTTGTCAATCTCACAAATCTAAATTGCTATGAAATACTGTCTTGAATAAATTATCCCAGTGCCCTGATCAATGGCCCTCTTTTCTTTCAGTGGGAAATATCATATTGAACTTACATTTTGGTGTGGGGAAATTTATTACTGAGACATTTGAAAACACATTATTGCAGTCTTTCTTCTGGATTGTTTAATGTGGGTTAGTTTGTGAGAATTTGGTCACATTTTTTACTCTTCTAGCCGTATTTTGAGCTATCTTGAGAGGATACTAAGGCACTGTTAAAAAGTTAATATTTTACCTTAAACTGTGTTTGATTTTGCATTGATATGATATGGCTCTATAAAAGAGAAAAAGCAAGAAGAAAAAAATGTCACCGAAGTCTAAACATTATAATAAATTCTAAATGTGGCAGCTTTCCTAGTGGGAGAAAGACACTTTCAAACCTCACTCTTAGTTCTTGGGCCTCTGAGCATTCTTTTCAGGGCCAGCTTCACCTCTTGGTTCCGTAGAGTGTAGATGAGGGGGTTGAGGAAAGGAGTGATGGCTGTGGGGAATAGGGCAGCTGCCCCATCCAGGGGGCTGTTGGTTTCAGGCCTCGGGTAAATGAAAGCACAGGGTACATAGTACGCAGTGACCACGGTTACATGGGCTCCACAGGTTGAAAAAGCCCGGCGCCGCCCTTCAGCTGTGTGGATTCTCAAGATGGCCTGAATGATTTGTATGTAGGAGAGGAGGATCAGGGAGAAGCAACTGGCAACTACCACCCCAATGTCCACAAATGTCACCAGCTCATTGACTGTCGTGTCAGCACAGGCCAGTCTCAACACTGCAGGAATGTCACAGAAGAAGTAATCCACGTGATTGGGCCCACAGTAGGGCAGGTGGAAGTTTAGGATGACCTGGAGAGCCCCATGGATGGATCCTGCCACCCAGGCTCCGGCTGCAAGCAAGGCACTCAGCTTAGCAGTCATGAGCACAGGGTAGTGCAGAGGCTGACATATTGCCAGGTACCTGTCATAGGCCATCAGGGTATAGAGGAAGCACTGAGTGCCGCCCAGGAAGTGATAGAAATAGAGTTGAGCAACACAGCCACCAAATGGGATGGGTTTGATGCCTAAAGTGAAGTTCATTATGAGGCGAGGGACAGTGACAGAGGAGATGCCCATGTCAATGACCGAGAGAACACCAAGAAAGATGTACATGGGGCGGGCATGGAGCCTCGGGTCTGCCCAGATAGTGATTAAAATAAGCATGTTTCCCAGCTGAGTCAGGATGTAGATTAGCAAAAAGAACACAAAAAAGAATGTCCTTAGCCTGAGTGGATAAGGAATTCCTGTCAGGATAAATGCAGTCAACAGTGTGTTGTTGACCCTTTCCATCTCCCAGACACTTTTACCTGGAGAATGGACAAAACAATAATTAACATAGGTGAGAAGCAAGTGAGGGAGAACCAGAAAAAGAGACTGTAAAAACTAGGGACAAGGACAGAGAAGTTTCTTTCTTTCTTTTTTTTTTGAGATGAAGTTTTGTTCTTGTTGCCCAGGCTGGAGCGCAATGGCATAATCTTGGCTCACTGCAACCTCCGCCTCCCAGGTTCAAGTGATTCTCCTGCCTTAGCCTCCCGAGTAGCTGGGATAATAGGCATGTGCCACCATGCCTGGCTAATTTTGTATTTTTAGTAGAGATGGGGTGTCTCCATGTTGGTCAGGCTGGTCTCGAACTCCTGACCTCAGGTGATCCACCCACCTTGGCCTCCCAAAGTGCTGGGATTACAGGCGTGAGCCATTGCACCCAGCAGAATTTTCTTTCTTATGTGGAAAGATGACAAGTAGGGAGAAACAATGTTCTCTGGCAGGTGTTTTGTAAACAAGATGCTATTGGAACACAGCCTTACTCATTTACCTACATACTGTCTGCAACTGTTTTGGAGCTACTATGACAGAGATGAGTGGAAAACATAAACTCTTTACTCCCTGAACATTTATGAAAAAGTTTGCATCTAGGGATCTGTACTCAGAGCACTTTTTCCAACAACCTTTGGAAAATAATCATTGACTGTTGTATTAGTACAGGCCACGATTTCCTGGAAACACAGCCTATGTGAGAAAAGGTATTTGTTTCATTAGGTTCTCTGCCAGCTCAGAATCTTCCAGAGGCCAATGGCTCACTCTTATCTCTGCCAGGACATAAACATATAGAAAGGGGAATATGCAGAAAGGAAAGGCAGAAACCCATTTCTATATAAAGAATGAAATAGAATTTTGATTAAATGGCTAATCAAAATTTTTATGTGTGACAATGCTTGATGCTGTGCAGATCTACTTCCCAATTTCTTGGAAGTTCATGTTGGCCAGGCTGGTCTCGAACTCCTGGTCTCAAGTGCTCCACCATCCTTGGTTTCCCAAAGTGTTGGGATTACAGGCAAGAGCCACCACACTTGGCTTGATTGGCACTTTTTAACCTAAAGAAAAGGGTTGGAGGCCTGGCATGGTGGCTCATGCCTGTAATCTTAGCACTTTGGAGGCAAAGGCAGGTGGATCACCTGAGGTCAAGAGTTCGAGACTAGTCTGGCCAACATGGAGAAACCCTGTTTCTACTAAAAATACAAAAATTAGCCAGGTGTGGTGGGGGGTACCTATAATCTCAGCTACTCAGGAGACTAAGGCAGGAAAATCACTTGAATCCAGTGGGTGGAGGTTTCGTTGAGCTGCGATCACAATCTGGGCAAAAGAGTGAAACTCTGTCAAAAAAAAATTCCTTCTAGTCCTATAATTTTTAGATACCCAAACTCTTGGCTTGGCACCTTTTTTGAAAATGAACTGACCTTAAATGGGTGGATTGACTTCTGGGCTCTGTATTCTGTCATTGGTTGATGTGTTGTGTTTGTTTTTAATGTCAGTGCCATGCTGTTTTGATAACTATAACTTTATAATATATTTTAAGGTAAGATGATGTTATGCCTGCAGCTTTTTGTGTGTGCATGCAAGATTGCTTTGGCTATTTGTTCCATAATGGGGAAAGGACAGTCTCTTCAATAAATGGTGTTGAGCAAACTGGATATTCATATACAGAAGAATGAAATTGAAACTTTATCTCATACCATTAGCAAAAATCAACTCAAAATGAATTAAAGGCTTAAACATAAGACCTGAAATTAACATACTACTAGAACAAAATGGGAAAAGTTCTACATTTGTCTGAAAAATGTCATATATATTCAACAGAATACTATTCAGTCCTAGAAAAGAAGGAAATTCTGTCATTTATGACAACATGAATGAACTAGGAGGAGATTATATTAAGTAAAATAAGCCAGGCATGGAAAGGCAACATTGCATGATCTCAGTTATATGTGGAATCTAAAAAAATTGAACTTACAAAAGTAGAAAAGAGAGTGGTGGTTACTAAAAGCCAGGGATGGGAATGGGGTTGGGGAATACAGAGATGTTGATCAGCTGGCTGCAGTGGCTCATGCCTGTAATCCCAGTGCTTTGGGAGGCCAAGGCAGGCAGATCACTTGAGGTCATGAGTTTGAGACCAGCCTAGCCAACATGGTGAAACCCTGTCTTTACTAACAATACAAAAATTAGACCAGTCTGGTGGCATGCACCTGTAATCCCAGCTACTCAGGAGGCCAAGGCGGGAGAGTTGCTTGAACTCAGGAGGCAGAGGTTGCAGTGAGCCGAGATTGTGCCACTGCACTCCAGCCTGAGTGACAGGGTGAGACTCTGTCTCAAAAAAAAAAAAAAAAAAGTACAAGGTTCCAGTATAAGTTTTCAGGACCTGTTGAACAGCACGATGACTATAGTTAACAATAATATATTATATACCTCAAATTGCTAAAAGTAGATTTTAAATGTTCTTACTGCAAAAAATGACAAATATGTGAGGTGATGAATATGTTAGTTTGATGTAATCATTCTACAATGTATATACTTGTGCCCCACAAATATGTATAGCTATTATTTATGAAAATAAAAGTTTAAATAAAATAGGCTCAATGAAAATTTTTACAGAAAAATACTCATGGCTTGATGTGAGATGTCAAAGAAATTGAAATTGCTTGGTTGATTTTTTTTTCTCTGGACTGATTTCCACCCATTCAGAAGGAGGAGAGTAAGATTAATGGTGAATGTCAGGAGCTTTCTGATTAATAATTCCCTCTACCTTCACTCCTGAGCAGGGCAGCATTCTGCCTTGGGTCAGGGGACTGTGGAGAGCAGGGAACTGGCAACCCTCATTAAGAAGTAAGTCATCATAGACAGATGGTCCTGCTGCTGGCTGAGAGCCACAAATGTAAACATTATAATGGATCTCCATCGTCAGCTTGCCATCGTAATGGATGTAGTCATTAGCTCACTTCTTGGTTCTGAGCGAGTCTCAAAGCTCCTCTGGGACTGGGTGCAGTGGCTCATGCCTATAATCCTAGTACTTTGGAAGGCTGAGGTGGAAGGAAGGATTGCTTGAGCCCAGAAGGTCAAGGTGAGCTGAGATTGCACCACTGCACTCTAGCCTGGGTGACAGAGTGAGAGACCCTGTCTCAAAATAAAAACACATATGACACCCAAAAAAGCCAACTCTTCTGGGTTTCAGTTTCTTCACTGGGGCTATGAGGTTTTGGAAAGAGACTGTGGACTCAATTTTGGCAAATAGTGAAAAACAAGGGATAGAGGTGAGGGGGGTAGAGCAAAAAAAAA